CAAAATCAACACCTGCATCAAGGACCACGTTCAAAGTTACTTAAATCCTCTTTCCTTCATATTCTGATGCCGGGTTTGAACGTCAGCAAGTCGTCTTCACCACATACACGCCTCGAGGCATGGAGTTGCTGCCATGTGATTGGCTGATTGGTTGTTTGTGTTAACGAGCGTTTGAACAGGAGGACCTAATGAAGCAGCCTTATGTAAAGTATTTAAAATGTGTGCCTAACAACTTAAAGAATAGAAATAATAAAAGTCCAGTTATAATGAAGTTAACTGGTTTCACTTTAATTGGTGATATGTGACTTATCTGTGCTGCTGATTATCCATGCTGCTGATCTCATGCTGCTGATTATTTCATGCTGCTGTATTCATTCATACATATCTGCTCACCACAGACTCATGTTCAGGCTGCTGTTGTTACGCCGTATTGTTTTACATTATTACTGCTTGGCATATATCTTAGATCCTTATATACTGTTTCTTTTAACACCTTATATATTTGCTATTTTTGGATGTAATTCAGACCCTGAGTACACAGTTTCATTCCACCTCATGTACCACATGTGATGAGAATGACGATGTGTTTTCACACCTGATAGTTCAGTAGACTCGGTTCAATTGGGGACCAAAATTCAGAACATTTGGGGTGCATTCACACCAGCCCTGTTTAGTCCGCTTTAATTGAACTCTTGTCCGTTTGCCTAGAAAGTCTGGCTTGTTTGGGGAGGGGTGAATGTGCAATCGAATGCTGATGTGGACCAAAAAAGCGAACTCTGGTCCACCTAAAAACGTAGGTCTCAATTCAGTTGAAGTGAACTCTAGTGCAGTTTGAGTGCAGTTTGAATGCAGTGTGAATGAAAGTGGACCGGAGATCGCTCCAAAAGCAGGAAGTGAACTACAGCGCAGGGCATTCTGGGTAAATACTACCAAAACAAACGCGCAGTTTCTCTTACCTCATACAGAGCCATCTCAGCTACCTTGTGTGAAAAACAACATTCTCCATGGTCTTCTGCCTCATCTTCCACTCATGCTGAGTCCATTGTTGAAAACTGACAAAACAGAAACCCTAAAACCGCTAAAATTGTACACCACTCTGTTTTTGTTTTTATTTCCGGAAGAAGAAGAAGAAGAAGTGTCTTCTTCAGAGGTTTTTGTGTTGTTTCCTTCAGTAGTTCTTGGTGCAGCGCCACTACAGGTGAGTGGGGGAACAGGTTGGTTCGATTGACTCAGTGCAGTGTGAATGTGAACACCAGCTGAAAATGTGAACAAGGTTGTTTTCACACCTGATAGTCCAGTAGACTCTGTTCAACTGGGGACCAAAATTCAGAACATTTGTTTACATTTTCAGCTGGTGTGGTTCACATTCACACTACACTGAGTCCATCGAACCAACCTGTTCCCCCACTCACCTGTGGTGGCACTGTACAAAGAACTACTGAAGTAAACAACACAAAACCTCTGAAGAAGACACTTCTTCTGGAAATAAAAACAAAAACGGAGTGGCGTCACAGTTTAGCGGTTTTAGGATTTCTGTTTGGTCACTTTTCAACAATGGACTCAGCATGAGTGGAAGATGAGGCAGAAGACCATGGAGAATGTTATTTTTCCACACAAGTCGGCTTACATGGCTCTGTATGAGGTAAGAGAAATTGCGCGTTTGTTTTGGTAGTATTTACCCAGAATGCCTTGCACTGTACCATACCGTACCATTTTATTTATAGAGCACTTAAAACAGCAACAAGGCCAACCAAAGTGCAGTACAGACAGAACAACAGGCAACACACAAAGCAAAATACAAAATGAAGTAAATCAGAATATAGACATAAAAACGTTGCAGATAATAAATATGACTAACCAGTGTGGAGCATACAGGTTCAAAACACAGATCATCTGGTGTTGAAAGCTACGGAATAGTTGTGGGTTTTTAAACAGGATTTGAAAACCCGAGAGGGAGGGGGCCAGTCTGACAAGCAGAGGTAACTCGTTCCAAAGTCTTGGTCCTGCTACAGAGAAGGCCCTGCACTGTAGTCCACTTCCTGTTTTTGGAGCGGTCTCCGGTCCACTTGCATTCACAATGCATTTGAACAGCACCAGAGTTCATTTCAACCGAACCGAGACCTAGGTTATTAGGTGGACCAGAGTTCACTTTTTTGGGTCCGCACCAGAGTTTCATTGCGCATTCACACCTCCCCAAACGAATCGGACTTTCTAGGCAAACGGACCAGAGTTCGATTAAAACGGACTAAACAGGGCTGGTGTGAATGAACCCTAAAATTGACTTGAACTTGAAGGAGGAGACTTTTCTGTCTTTTACTTAGATGTACACTGGCTTCTTCCTGTTAATCTTGTGTTTTCTTGTAATGTTTTAAGAGCCATGACTACACCACTGAGGACTAAAATGTGGATTTATTAAAATGCCACATTCTGATTTGCTCAAAGTTATGAAGACTACCTCTGTGCCCATCACTTGGTGCCTTTTAAACCTGCACAGTATGACCCTGTTCATCTCAAGCGTGAAGCTCCAGTTTTATCAGCGTCTCCTCCTCTGGCAGTGTTTTCATATCAGCACTGTGTTACGCCTCCCTGTGCTCGCTGTCAATCACCCGACACTCTCAGAAAGATACGGGATGAAAGGGGACGTCTGCCTCTCTCTCTGTCAGAGTACCTCACCGTTCAGTCTTTATTTGTTCATAGGTGCCGTCTTGTTAAAAGCAGCTTAACTGTTCATCTCAATGGCATCCTCCTTCTAGGACTGATGATGCTGTATTTTATCTGCTGCCTTCTTGTTTCTGCTTTAGCTACAGATATGAGTATCATGCTGTGACATCTGCTGCACTGCTCTGAATATTCCTCCTGAGGCCAGGTTCATGCTGCTCGTGTGTGTGTGTGTGTGTGTGTGCGTGCGTGCGTGCGTGCGTGCGTGCGTGCGTGCGTGCGTGCGTGCGTGCGTGTGTGTGTGTGTGTGCTATTTAAAGAGCGACACACTGATAATCTCCTGGCATGGCTACTCAATTCTAATCTTTCATTATATTGTTATGTAACAACCTTTGTCTCCATTTAGACACAACTAACCGTTTAATGTAGTGTCGCATGTACTCAGACTTTATGTATATGTTTTTTATTTTATTTGTTTAAACATTACTTTAAATGTGTACCTGCTTTTGTTGCCCTGTGGCAAAATCCAAAAGTCAGGAGATGAGGGTTTTTGCATGTGTCTGCTGTTAGCAAAATATTTCATGAACCTCTGAACAGACATTAATGAAATTCTCGGTCAAGCTTACCAAACACAAAAAAGGCTGTTAATGACAAGAATTGGGTTTTAGGTTTCGTACACGACGCCGGACAACAAGAATGGTTAAAAAGTTTTTTGAAATGCAGCTGCTGGTGGAGGTCAGAATCCAGTGGCGGGACCAGTCTGCAGAGAAATGGTAGTGGACTGAATATTTCTGTGAGTGGGAAGATGAACAGACAGTCACTAACCTTCTCAAACAGGAGAGGTGGGGGTCACCTGAAGGAGGTGGGCAAGATGACGTCACCGTCACTGGGTGAAGCACAACTTCAGGACAGAGCTGAGGAGAGCGTGGTCAGGGGGCAAGGTCCAGGTGTAGAGGTGGGGGTCATACACAGGGGGTCAGAGATCCAGATCTAAATCTTGAGTTGTAGTCGTTGAGCCAGAAGGGGTAGTTGGTAACAAGGTCAGAAAGGCAAAACAAGAGAAGACAGGGAGCAGGCAGCTCGGGGTTTCCAAGAGACAGGCATGATGTCAAGACATGAAGACCAGCCGAGGCTGTGACAAGAACTTTGGACATCTACTACCATGAGGGGTTTGATAATCTGGCAGATTGGAGTGGTAAGGGGAGTCCTTAAATATGGATCAGAACAGGTGTAGAGAATCTGGGCTGATGAGCTGAAAGTGCAGAGTGGGCGTGGCAGAGTGACAGAGCAGCAGTTCATGACATGAAGAGGCAGAAACATGACAGTAACAGTCAATTTTACACATATTTAAGTAAAACCTGGTGTGGTAGTAGTTTAGAGTCATCCATAACACATACTCTGAGAACTAACTGATTACCAGGATTTTTGATGAAAACTTTTCTGTTAACTTTTAAGGTCAACTTTGTTGTTAGCAAATATCTCATGAACCACTGAAAGGAAACTCTCATAAAGGAGCCATTGTCTGTACATCTATAACTGATTAGCTTTTGGCATGAACTTAATTTAAGATGACCACCACAGCTAATCAGCATTAGCTAACACAACCATGGCAACAAGTCGGCTAGTTTTACAGATACTGGGCTAAAATTGGGTGTGGCAGTAGCTGGAAGTCATTCTCAACACATTGTTTGAGTGCTGACAGATCTCACAACGCTGCATGGATGATGTGCCTTGCTTAAAAAAATGCTATGCCTTTAATTTTATAATGGTTGTTAGGGTTAGGCCATATCATATTGTTCACGATAATACCGGTAAAAAAAATGCTTGCCTGGGAAAATAAATTATAGCATGATATGCTAATTTCATGACGTAAATACGTCAGTGTTTCCCCTACCATTATACAAGCGGGGCGCCCCGCCCCATTAACAGAACCGAGCGCAACAAACTACCAAACCAAACTGCGCACTGAATACTTTACTAAATAAAGTAACTGCAGTAAAATGAACCGTTGTTGTTTTTTTAGTTTTTACATAATAATGCAAAGCAACATCCATCTATATCTTTTACCCGCTTCTTCCATTTTGGGTCACGAGGTCGCCGGTGCCCATGTCCAGCAATCTGCAAAGCAACATGTTAAGTTAATTTTGTCAAATGAATAACTATTTTTTTTTTTTTTTTTTTTGGTTATATCACGAAATTTATCGTTATCGTCAGAATACTCTGAAATATCACAATATTATATTGGAGCCATATCGCCCACCCCAATGGTTATTTTTTTCATTAAACACTTTTCATTTGTGCTAATTCTACATTTATGATATCTTTTGTGTGTTTCATCGCAGGTTTCATCTGATTGAAGACCTGTCATATGAAGATGTGAAGAAATGTTACAGGGGCTCGGTGAGTTTCTTTTTGTTTCTTAATTACAGTCATTATGAGTCGGGTTTAACTAGGTTTATTTTAAACAAACATTTAAGTAAAGCATTTTATAACCATGTTTATAACTATGCAACAAACCAGTGTCCCAATACAATTTCAACAATAAAGTATTGAATAAAAAAACGAGACAAAATGAACATCACCTCAGGGCTTTGTGCTCTGCATTATCATTCTGTAAATGCAATCCTGAGAACAGGAGCTTCCCCTGAGTGTGCTATAAATAGAGAAATAAACCCAGGAGTGGCACAGAATAACAGACTGAACAGGTTTACATTAATCCTGTGAAAGATGAGATACAAAGCAAGACAGGGATGAAAAAAATGGGGGAAAGCCGTAGCTGGAGGTGAGTTTTAGCTGCAGAGGAGGAAAAGGTTGGGTTTTTCTTTAAATGGGATACATTTTAAGATTTAAAGACATTAACCTGAAGGGAAAGTAGCAGAGTAAACAGAGAAACAAAGACTTTAGGTGAGATTATTGTGGAGTACCTCTGTGAGGGAGATTTTTTAGAGCAGAGTGATGAAGGACAGTGAGAGTGTATGCGTGTAAAGGAAGGAGACAAGGGAGGGTGTCGAGTCGCCAAAGGTGTATTTGAGACAGAGAAAGGGAGCCTTGTAGTCGAGGAAGAGTTCAGCGGCTGTAAACCGATGCGTTGCTGTAGTGTATGTATGTGCGTGTGCTAGAGTCAGATGTGTGTGTCTGTACGTGCACGTTGACTAGAAGGTAGCAGCGTTAGCCCAGAACTGACCAGCGACAGGGGAACAGTGTGTATCTTGCAGTGGTTTGCTCCAGGCCTTGGATGTGCGCGAGTGTGTGTGTGAGTACGGTGCCAACGTGCTGAGCCTGGTGCAGAGCTCGCGTCCTCTGAGGGAGAGGGTTGTTTCTGCGTCGAGCCGAGCCGGTGGTGCTGGAGGTGGGGGAGCTGCCGGTGCTGGTGCTGTGCGGGCAGGCCGGTCCACCAAGGAGCTGCTCATGACTCTGCCCTGTCCCTCTGCACAGACTGTCAGCAAGTACAACTCGCAGTACCACAAACTGTTCCCCTGCGTGCCCAAGGATGAGATCCTCATGAAAGGTACTGTGCTTTCACTTGGACGTTCTCAGCCTGTTCTGTATTTGTAATGTGTTGAGCTAACCACTAATGTGTTACAGTAGATACAGATGGAAGGTTTTTCACATTCGGACATGGATCGATCTTTTGGTACTGTTCTGCTAAAGAAAAGAAAAAGAATGGTTACTGAAATAACTTGAACATGACAAGAATGTGAATAAGAAGAAATGTACTGAATATCAACAAATGGAAGTCAGTCGATGCTTGTGAATCTTGTTTCAACGGAATAATTCAAACAAATGAAAAGGTTAATCTGACCATAGGACATGTCCTGTAATCAGCATCACAGGTGTCTACAATCGTGTACTCAGTTTGCCTACTTAAAGGGCAACAGGTAGTCACTGTGCTGTTTTATATCATGGCGTGTACCACACTTAACATGGACTACAGAAAGCTAAGGAAAGAGTTGTCTCATGAGCTTAGATAAAAAATGACTGACAACCATGTTCAAGGTAAAGACGAAAAGACCCATCTCCAAGCAGTTTGAAGTTCCTCTGACTACAGCTGCTCGGATTACTCAGAAGTTTAAAGTCTACAGGACTGTAGCCAACCTCCCTGAATGTGACCAGAAGGGGAAAATTAATGACAAAATGAAGAGATGGATTATACAAATGGTAACCAAAAAGCCAAGAACAACTTCCAAAGAGATTAGAAATGAACTCCAAGGTCAAGGTACATCTGTCAGACTGGACCATTGGCTACTGTTGGAACCAAAGTTGACTTAATGGAAAATAACTGAGGAGGACACCTGTTTTGCAAATAAATTATATTAAAGCCAAATTTGAATTAGCCAAAATGCATAATGACAAGCCAAAAAGCTTCTTGCAGAATGTTCTTTGGACAGATGAGGAAAATCTGGAGCTTTTTGGCAACAAGTACCATGAGTTTTATGTTCACATATACCAAAAATGAAGCATACAAAGAAAAGAGTCCTGAAACTACAGTGAAACATGGAGGAGACTCCGTTATGTTCTGGAGCTGCTAAGCTGCAGCTAACAAAGGTTGTGCAACAAAAAATAGGGAAAGGGTAAATTCAATTCAGTTTATTTATTCAAGGATTCAAGGTTCTTTATTTGTCATTTGCACCCCATGTGGTACATGTGGTGGAATGAGATTATGTACACAGGGTCCAATTACCTCCAACAATAAAATGTAAAGGAAAAATAGCAGTAAGATCTAAGATATGAAAAACATCAACTAAATATACACTAAGCACTAGTAGCATAAAAACATAATGCTGAACAGCAGCACGAACATGAGTCTGTGTGAGCAGATGAGCACGCATGAACACATCAACATGAAACAGATCAGCAGCAACATGAAACAGATCAGCAGCAACATGAAACAGATCAGCAGCAACATTATGTGATTTTTTTCACATTGATTATTCTGGTTAGAGATTCATGAGTCTACCAGCCTCGGGGTAGAAGCTGTTCCTCAGTCTAGCGCCAAGTTACAACGGAAGTCATGTCAGGGCACTGAACAGAAACATTTATATACATTTAAAAAAGTAAGTTAATATTATTTATCTGAAGAGTAGACTGCTTTGAGTCTAACTTCATCACAGACTCTCATCTTGAGCAAGCATGAAGGCAACAGTGGAAAGGAAAAACTCTGTCATAAGGAAGAAACCTTTAGTAGAACCAGGCTCAGGACAAGCGGCCATCTGCTTCGACCAGCTGGGTTTGAGAGGACAGGAAGGAGGAACAGATACACAATGGCAGGTCAAGAATCACGTTAAGATAGAAAAAATATAAAATAAAAACTATTCAATTTTAACAGTTCGTTTTAAGAAATTAGGTCAATTTGTCCTCTAGTAATCTAACCCTATGGCAGAATAACAAATCAACCCTAACTATAGGATTTATCAAAAAGGAAAGTCTTAATCCCAGTCTTAAAACTGGACAATGTGTCAGCCTCATGGACAGAAACTCTAAGTTGTTTCCACAAGCGAGGAGCCTGATAACTGAAAGATCTTCCTCCTATTCTTTTTTAGGAAACTCTAGGAACCACAAGTAAACCTGCAGTCTGAGAGCGAAGTGCTCTGTTAGGAAAATATGGAACAATAAGATCTGTAATATAAGATGGAGCTAGGTTGTTGAGGGCTTTGTAGGTTACAAGTAAGATTTTTAATTCAATTCTGGATTTGACAGGATGCCATTCTTTTTGTCAAGTTTTTTTTTTTGTATAGATATATTTATTCAGAATGTACAACCATACATAATCTACTTCCAGTGTACAAAATTACAATTTTTCCTTTTTAATATACAAAAAATACACACAAGAAAAACAAAAACAAAACGGACAAACTTCAGAAATAAAACACTCCCACCCCACCCACTCTCTCCATGTAGAAACACATGAAGTAATATTTCAATAACATTAAATATATTTTTGAAAGGCCAGAGTTAAAAAAAAATCAATATAACAAAAATATTAAAAGAATTGACACAAGACAGTAAAGATCAATACAGATCAGATCAGTCTTCCAGATCTAATCTGGTTAGAATGTCCAAGAAGGGAGTCCATATCTGTTCGAACTTAGCCAATGTCCCACGTGTCGAATGGAGAATTTTTTCAGGAGTGCAGTATGACAACAGTTTGTTGATCCAATGTTTCTGGTTTGGAGGCTCCATAGATTTCCAATTTTTAAGTATACACTTTTTTGCTGCAGATGATGCTAACAAAACAAAGTATTTCTTGCAAGGATAGAATTTCAAGGACATAACATCTCCAAGTATCCAAAACCTGGGGTCAGCATCTAAAGAAAACCCACAAACTGCTGATGTTATCAGAATTACATTATTCCAGTAGGTTTGCAAGTGTACACAACTCCAAAGCATATGAAGAAGATCTCCTACAGATATCTTACACCTCTGGCATTTGTCAGTGATACTGGCATTCAGTTTATTCAACCTGTATGGGGTATAATATATACGATGAATAATATTAAATTGAATTTGCCTGTGTTTTGTTGATATTAATATTGTTTGGGATGAATTTAATAACCTGCTCCAGCTTTTGTCATCATATTTGCAGTTTAAGTCCGATTCCCAGTTCGATTTTTTTGAGTACTTCTCATAAGCTGGTAAATAGTCAAGAACAATTTTGTAAACACAAGAGATAAGTCATTTTGTAGTGGTACGTTTGGAATCCAATAAACATGTTTCAAACAGTGTTTCCTCTGGTTTATTTGGAAATATCTCTAATGCTTGGCTTTTAATCCAGTGTCTGATCTGTAAATATTTGAAATAATTATGCCTATGTAAGTTATAAAATTCAGATAATTGACTGAAGCTGGTGTAGTGAGTCACGTGGGTACGTGCCACTAGTTGTATGACAAATATA